GAAGAAGGATTAACTATTCTTTCCTTCTTCCCACTTGAGTCTTTTCCCTTCTCCTCTTCTTTTCCCAGGCTCTGACTAGATGCCTCAAATAAGCGTTCCAGAGCTGTCAAGTTTCATGCAAAACCATGTAACATCTTCTGTAAATATTTAAGGATCCAGTTTACATGTTTCTGAAATGACTTGCAAACTTTACCTTGTGGTTAATTCGTTTCCTGAAGTAATGCTGGAGATAAGGCAAAGAGCATTGTACAGTCCCTTGGGTAATGTCCTGCCTAAAATTGTGAGAGTAAAAGGGTAATTGCTTAGGTTAAGGCAGTGTAGGGATGGTGGGTTATGGGCCAAAGTTTGGTGTGGTGGATTTGGGGACTTTTCAGTGTGAGCTCTGACATGTTTTGTAGACTGCTAGGTGAGCTTGGAAAAAGCAGGGGAAAAGCTTGCATGGCACTTGTAGAGAAGGTGACCTATTGCAGGTAGAGCTTAAGTGTGATTATTAGACTTTTAATGAACTCTCACAAGAAAGGGAAGGAAGATTGGAATCTGTCAGTGTCTGAATACCAAAGGTGAACCTGAGGCATGACAGGGAGGCAGACAGCTGGGATGTCTCTGGATGTTATACCATTAGTCTGGAGGTTGAGAGTAGTTCTGGAGTCTGAAGGAATTTGTGAGGATTTTTCCCTTAATTTTCTTTTTGTGTTGCCCAGGCTACCTGCTGCTGCTATTGTCACCCTTCTGCTTGCTTTTGATTGCTCTTTTTTCCTCTCTGATCCAAGACAACGTACAGCCAGAGGGAAGGGAAATGTGCTGTTGGGGAAGGTGAGCAGTGTAGCAGTGCATAGTTGCTGGTAAGAGAATGGGTTGTTGCCTTCATCCAAGCTGCGATGTGCCTGTGTCACTTGGCTATGACCAGCTGAGACATGAGCAGAGGTATCAGAACAGTGGAATGCATGAATGTAATTTCTGTGTTCTAAGGTTTGAGTTCAGAAATGAGGGGCATCTCCTCTGTCCTGCTGGAGAAAGAGAAGCTGCAGTGAAAGGCAGGGAGGCTGCCGGGGCTGTTTCCAATGACTGCAGCTACTTGTGCCTGGGAGGCTGTGTTACAGGCAGCAGTTAGTGTGGAAACTGAACAATGCACAGCCAACCTCAGTTTAACCTTTCCTCTTTCCATCTGTAGTTTTGAGGTTGAAGCTCTCCTATAATATTTCTGCTTAGAGGCTTTTGGAATCTAATCTCTTGTAGACTATGTTAGAATGTATCCTTAATTTTCTTAACTTAGCCCTTTCCTCAGACATTAAAATGACAAGATTTATTAGGAGGGGAGGATCTTTGGGAGGATGGGACTGTAGTAAAGCTAGGTAAACAAGTTAATGAAAGTGAGTATCTTTAGTATCACTTGGAGTTCATTTTCAGCAGTGACTACAAGCAATACATAACATCAGGACATGGGAAGGTACTTTCTGTGTTCTTGCTGCTGTGAACTGCGTTACCTCTGTGTAACACATCTCAGAGATGACCCAGGTCAATGCTGTCAGAGAGGACCCTTCCTCCTGCATCATCTTCTCCTGCACCCTCTCCAAGTACATTGGCAGGTGGAAGAAGGTTCAGTCATTCAACTTTGAAAACTGGTGGTTAGAACTTGTGTAACAGAGAAAGCAAATCTGTATTCAGGCCAAACCAGAGTTGATATTCTTCTGATGGTGGATACAGAACAGACACTCATTCCTTTCTTGGCTACCTGCATAATATTTCACATTGTTAACAATAAGAAGAACTGCTGGTTTAGATGAAATGGGGACAGAAGAATGCACTGAAGTGACAGAAAACCTTCATATCTGACTAGTAGTGGAAAATTTTACCTTTTCCTAGGTTTTTTTTTCCACTTGACAAGTCATGTAGAAGAATTAAAAGAATTAAGATTTAAAAGCACTGTGAATCTAATTGTTGAACCACTCAGTCCACACACACTTTATCAGCAATACCTGTTAAGTATGTTGGCTCTCTGCATTGCAAGGCCTATGGAGTAGTCCAGAACTTGGACAGGAACAGACCACAGTGGGGGAGAATGAGAGTTGCTGGAAGCAGAGTAAGAAGAGATGGTGTTAGTAAGCACAAGATAGTGTTTAGATGAGTTTCCCTTGATAAAATAGTGTTTTTTGGCTAAAGGGGGGCCCCCACATGTGGACAGTCCAGCCTCTGGTTTAGGAGTACTCCTGGATTCCTGTGTGGTTGCAGGCTCCCACATAGCAGCATCCACGAGTAATGCCTTGGCTCAGAAGCAGCCCTGTCCTGGCAGATGGGGATCTGGACTCGTGTACTTGTGCCTTCATCACTTTTTGGCTGGATTATAGCAATATGAGACACCTGGGCATGGAGCCTTTAGTGTTTAGAAAAATAGTTCATGCAGAATATTGCAGCATATGCTTGTGGTAAATTCTGTTACTAGGAAAACATGAGGCTTGCCCTTTATTTTCTGTGCCTGCTTAGCATATAGTTTTTGAATTGCTTTTAGGATCTTGGCCCTTATCTTTTGAGTAACATATGTTCTATTCTTAGTAGTGGCCCAGAATGAAATTGGAAAAGAATGTTGCCCTTAAATGAAGTAATCTTCTAAAGGATTGTAAGATTCTTCAGGAGTTTATTCCAATTTCAGGTTAACGCCTAGAAAAATTTTACAAGCACTGTTTTTCTATTTTTCACTATTACTGTACTGACCTTGGTTTCTCTAAAATAAAAGTAAATTTCTGCTGAAGGAAGACAGTCTGTAGCCTGCAAGTCTCTTCTCCTTCCTGGAGAGAAAAAGTGTGGTGGATGAGCAGCATAGTTACTACAGGGGCAGAAAGATACAATGAAGTATACTCTTAAAAGCTGCAGAACTGAAGAGTACTGAAGGTGATTGTGACTGGTATTTCAGAGTTAGTGACACTCTTCCATCTCATATGAGTGCAGAACACAGAAGTGTAGGGAGTGTGGGCTATTTGCTTGCACTGTACTTCTGACCTGTTACTACTTTGGCATCCAGAAGCTATTGATAGAAGCTCTAGAAATAGCTTGGATTTTCCATTTGCAGACTTGCATTTAGCATGAGGCTGGTCAAACCAGCTCTGGGTGAATGTATTAAACATTGGATTATGTTGTTTAAAGCTTGGGCTTTTTAGATAGTAGATATGAGTAATTTCATGTTTTGGAGGTTTTTGGTGCATTGCTGAAGTTGCCCATGATGTCCTTCAAGAAGATAGCATCCTAGCAAAAGAGAAAGCTTAACCCCTGGGAGCTCTGGAACACAGTGAGATATCTTCTGAATAAACAATCCCCATGGAAATGTAAAATTCTGAGCACGGAGCTCAGACCACCTAATAATTAAGGATGGTCTCTGTAGAAGGAAGTTAATGCAAGCATTTGAAGGTACAGAAACACTTTTGTTTAGAGTACTGTCTGTGTCTGCCAGGGGTTCCTATTCTTTTATTTGAGGATGGAGAATTAAAAGCATAAGCTGAAAAACATGGTGAACCCCCCTGCTTGGAAGTACCAAGGGAGACTTGAAATGGCTCCCTGATTGTGCTCAGTATCTTCCAGGATCTGGCTGAAAGTATATTTCAACAAATACTTCTGGTATACTGCCAGTAAATGATTGTTAAGATGGAGATTATGAAATCATAAATGAGAACCAAATATATGACAGGGCTTTTGTCACTGTTTTCAAAACAGAAGTGCTAAATCCAGGAAACTTACAGTTAAACTGAAAAGAAATTCAAATACTTTAAGCTGTGGAAATATGTGGAAAGGGGATCCAAACTTCCAAATGCTTTTGTTGCCAGCTGCTCTGACTTTGTACATAGTTTAAGCTGAGAAAAATATTTTTCCCTCTTTTAACCTTGCCACTCAAAATTGCTTATATCATGGGGCGTTTGTTTCCCCCTCCCCTGCTTCCACACATGTATTTAAGGACAAGTTTAAGCACTTTTTGTGGATTTGCTGGTATAGTTCTTATGGCAATAGGTATTTCTCAAAATGGCTACCAAGTGAGGGCGGTAATGGCATAGTTTTAACTGAGAAATAAGGTCTTTGTTTTTTTGGCAGTTCTTTCTAAAGGAAGGACTGTGGGGTTTTTTGTCTTTGGTGTTTGTTTGTTTTTGTAACGTGTTAGCTGTCTTTGTGTAGTTCAGCTTCTTCTGAGCTATGGGCAATAATTGGGGAAGGATGAAGAGAGATGACTATTAATGAAAAAAATTGGAGGTGCATTCTTTTCTGAGCATTATTTCATTGCATAACCAGATGATCCAACTTTCTCTCACTCTTCCATTTTTCCAGAATCCTGTCTCCTTTTTCCTGGGTTGAGGCTTCCCCCATATCTACTCCCCTTTTTGTGCAGCTAACACTGCTGTGCTTGGTACATACTTTTCCTCTTGCTGGGGCTTCTTTGGGTACCATGTGTTTTGACTCTTCCCTCAGCCTTTCTTACTCCCCTTATCTCTTTTGAGACATTGGTATCTTAAGCTCTTGTGGTACAGGAGGATTGTCAGAGTGAAGGTATTTTTTCTCTTGTTCGATTTTTGAACTGGGGCATGCTTGCTGTTATGAGTGGTGGTGATTATCAGTGGCTCATACTGGTCATTCTACCTACCAGATGCTCTGGTTTCTCCCCTCAATTTTTTAAAATTGATCTTTCTCCAAAGTCTGAGGCCTAAAATATGTATTGAATCAGGATTACATGTAGTGTAAGAAAATGATTCCAGTTGGGCTAGATTACTGTTGTAGTTCCTTTCCAGCTGCAACTATTCTATTGCATTATATTCACATTCTATGGCATTATTTTTTCTTGATGTGTCCTTTGAGGATAAATTGTATTTTGCATTTGATGAAGTCTCATTACATGCATTCTCTCCCTGGGTGTTGCTGTTGAGTGGTCTGTATGGTGGTCTGTGATTTGTAGTGACATGCTTGCTGTATTTAGCAAGAATGCCACTTGCTTAAGGAATACTGTGAATTTTTATTCCTCTTTACAGATTTGCAACAGTGAGGTATGACCAGGCATCCAAGAACATTAAAAACCAGTTCATGCATCTGACCAACTACAGTGTCAACAAGAAGAGTGGAGATTATGTCAGGTACTTGGCTGGAAAATGGAACCCATTCTTCAGAGGTTGGGTCAGTTTACCTGAGTTGGTCTAATGCTGATCCATAGAGGTAGGCCAGTGGTGTAAGTCTCCTCCTTTCATTTATTTATAGCTGTGATGATCCTGAAGTAGAGGATTATGGAAACAAATGGAGCATGAGTGCAATGCTGAGGTACTTAAAACAAGAGGGGAGAGACACTGCAGGTCAGTAAAAATCTTGTTCTGTTGTTTCTTTGTTGGATCTTGATCATCTCAGTAGTGTGAATTCTGAGAAGTCAAGGAAGTGCCCCAGTGAGTCCCATTTAGCACCAGAGCAGGGTGGAGGGAAGCGTTGTTCTTTACTCATGAGAGCTGTGCATTTATTCCCTATCCCCAGAGATAAGGCCTAACCCCTTCCTTTTTGCAACTAGTGTTCTGAGACTTTCTCAGGGTGTGTTTCTTAATATTTTACCTACATTTCCCCTTTCTTAAGGTCATTCCATTCGTTCTAAAAGCTTCCCTCCCTCTACTGCTCCCATGGCCTGTTCGGTCTGATGAGTGACCAACCTCTGGACAACTGTGCCAGTTTGAATGACTCTTGGATGTGGTGTCATCTTTCCATGGCTCAGGTTTTTGCTGGGTGTTTTCATTTAGTCTGTGTTTCATATACAATAGCTCCCTCTTCCACACCTTTGCCAGGTCTGCTGGTAGTAACTGCATCTGCAGAGCAGAATCCAGGTATATCCTTAAAGGGATAATTTACCTGTGATACTGAGGCATCAGTAAAATTACTGATAGTAGCTATGGCCCATATTGCTAATGTTGCCAAGGAACACTCAAATGTTGGAGAAAGGGATTTGGATCTGGCTTTCAGATGGAAGTAGACTTTTTTTCCATCATGTGTGTGCATGGCAGTCCAATCCCTTGCACCATATGTGTTCAGCCAGTTGTGAATGTACAGTTATTAATATTAATACATCTCTACTCCTCACCCCAACCTCAAGTATAAAATATACACTCTTAATTAGTAGGCAAACTACTGAGCAATGCAAGCAGATTTCTTTAACTATTCATTACTAGACATGCACCTTTCTCTGATGCATCTGGTTCTGGCCATAGGGAGGAAGAATGCTGGCTGAGAAGTGCTGGCCTTGTCTGGGCTGGCAGGGTTTTTGTGCTCTGGGTTGTTTATGTGTGCTGGGATGTTGCCATGCTGTGTTGGTTCCACTTAGTTGTTTTCTGGTACAGAAGTTCACATCTGAATTTGCTTGCATGATCTTTCTGTAATTGTTCAGGTCCCTGCATGTCATCATGTGAGCATGAGAAATAGTAATTGTAGAACTAAAGTAAACTCTCTAGTCAAGTGGTTTCTAGAAGATAGTCTTTGAAGTAGTGATTGCCAGATGTCTCTGTGGATTTGCTTGTGCTCCCTTTGAGGGGTGGGGAAGGCTGTCCTTTCATCTTTATTAACTTCTGAGACTATGACTCCAGTATTTGTTCATTTCTCCTTTCTCTCACTTCTCTATTTCTTGTCCTTGAAAACAAAAGCAGTGTGGTGTTCTTTCTATCACATGACTCATCCCAAGTCCAGTGTAGAATGCAGGTCTATGTCTAATGCACATCTTTTCTTGCCTTTTGCTTCCTCTGTCTGCTTAGACTCCTGTTCCTGAGCTCTTCACAGGCTCATGCAGGAGCTGGAGAGTGCTTTCTTACTATTGGTTATCTATAGGTCAGCAGGACTGGGAGCTATCACCAGTCACAAAATTTTGAAAAGATTTATGAACTTTGGTTTGGGAACAGCTGCTTTAGAGGAAGGTGCAGTGTCACAGAACAGTTATCTCATAAAAGTTCACAAGAAAAATTTGTCTATCTCGGTGCTATGGCTTATTCTCTGTAGTTTGAGGGCTTATCTCACTAACCCACTCCTGTCTAACCTTTGTTTAATCCTTCCTATACTCAGAGTGGGCAGTGGTCTGACTCCAGCTGACTTGTGCTGGTGTGTTTGCCATATGTTTGTTTACCTGCACTGGACATATACTCACATTTATCATTCTCACATTCTCATTTGTGAGTATTTTTGCACTTAGATATGTATGCATGTCTGTTTACTTAGGCTTGCATGGATTTCCAAGCATCATTGCTTTGTCATCCATAGGGTCTCATGTGCTTTGATTCACAAAGGTGTATCTCCATTTGCATATTCTCATGCCTTCCTGGATATTATGTGTTACTTCACAATCTACTTTTTTCCTTTTTCCTCCTCCCCCCCTCCCCTCCTTGCAGCACTGATGGCCAGCGTGGAGGACCTGATTATCAAGGCTCTAGTTTCTGCTGAGCTGTCCATTGCATCGGCTTGTAAAAGTTTTCTTTCACATCGTGGCAGCTGCTTCGGTAAGACGCTGGGGACATCTTTGTTGATTGCCTGTTGAGTACTGTTTGGAACCTCCAGCTTTGTCATGCTAGAGAGAAAGTGCATTTCCTAGTGTAAGAAAGCTGGATGCTATTTTGGTTGTTTTGGTTTGGTTGTTTTTTTTTTTTAAGCATAAGCCTCGGTGAGGGCAGAGGGCATCAAATCTCATTTCACCCTGTGTCAGCACCATTGATAGTCTCGTGCAAAAAAATGAAAATGGGATTATGAAAAAGGACTTGAAAGGGAACTTGGGGAAGTGCTGGAAAGTTGGTGATTTACCAGTGCCCTTGCAAAGAATGGCTGTGGATGATTAAACACGTTTTTAGAGCATTTGCTGTTTCCTCCTGAGCCAGCTAGCAGTGTAGTTTTGCCTTTCCCCGGTGCGTGTGAGGACGGGGAGCAGCCGCGGGCGGTGCCGGTGCGGGGATGGGGCGGGCGCCGCGCGGGGGCGGCCGAGGCCGCTGCCGGCCCGAGCGGGCGCTGCTGTGTGGGCGCTGCTGTGTGGGCGCTGCTGTGTGGGCGCTGCTGTGTGGGCGCTGCTGTGTGGGCGCTGCTGTGTGGGCGCTGCGGAGCTCCCTGCCAGCGCAGGCTGGGAGCGGCTCCAGAGAGCAGCGCCTGGTACCACAGTGTGCCTTCTCCCGATTTCCAGTGGCTGCTTCCCAACCTTCCCTAAAGAGGCCTCCTCCTGCTCCTAGCCGTCCTTCACTCATGTGGATGCATGCACGGAGATGAAGTCTCAGTCAGTGCTTAAACCAAAGGCCAAGCTTGGTGTAGGCTATCCTGTGTTTAGGTATTGGGGCTTATATTTAAACTAGCTGTGACAGGTCAAATCCCTTTATGTGGTCCTTGAGTTGCACTTACATACTGATAATTCTGCAACTTTCAACACTCCAGCATAAATGCATCTTTGGATATTTGAGAGTGATAAGACAGTCAGGAATCAAGGAGCCATGACTGATAGGTTGTTTAGTTGCCTCCCAAAACTAGCTACCTCTCCGACCATAGGTTCTCCTGACTGACTCTGATGCCTTTGTAAGTTGAAGGATCTGGTGATACATGGGGATTAATGAGCTAGATAATAGTCTCAGTGAAATGGCACTTTATTGGCTAGTTGAAAAAAAGATGTCAAAACCACTTTAGCTGCCCCTTTTTTTTGGCTTCTCTCTTTTCCTTCCTCAGTTGTGTCTCCAGAGCTGTGTATATGGAAACTAACGTTCCTAATGTACTTTCTGCTGGGCCTGGCTCTGAGGTTATCCCACTTCCTGCTGCCTCCCCAGGGCTGCACTAACCACCCTCTCAGATGCTCCCCCACAAATAAACTGTTTTGTTCCATTTATTTCAGTGTAAACATAAATTAAGAGCTTCCCAGGAAAGAGAGCTTAAGTAGGAGCCATACTGCTTCCCTAGGGAGACTTAGGCATTTCCAGAGCTCAGTACTTTCTGCCACCTTCCCCCCACAATTAAGTGGTGGTCCTTGTCTCAAGGATTTGAACTTCCATCATGCTGTATGGTTCATTTGTCATCTGTGTGTGTGTCTTTCTGACACTTTTGGGTTGTATGGCTTTTAACCTTGTAGATATTCAGCTTTTCTAGCTGGAAGTGTTCATAATGGTTCAGTTCATAGTTGTTAGCATGAAGGAGAAAGCTGCAAAGTAAGACTTCAAGGCAGCATGTTGAGTCTCAGACAAGAGCCTTTTTTAAATTTTTTTTTTCATTCTGAGCTGTGAACAATGAAACTGAGTGTGTGTCCTGAGGAGGGCTGATCATGTGAAAAGTATCTTAGAAACCTTTATCTGGAATTCAGATGCAGAGATGGGTCTTGTTTGGAAAACTCCTAAAAAATATAACTAAGTTGTATTCTACTCTAGTGCTTGTAATGCTGTTGTAGGGAATAGAACTCCTGTACAATTGCCGTTTTCTTCCTAAAAAATTAAATCACAATTACTTATTTGTCCAGATGAGGTTGCCCACTTTATTTCTCTAATTGTTTAGTACTGCACTGATCCTTCAGTTCTTGCGCAAGTAAGTGTTTTTATATGTAGTGTACTTGTTTCCTGGATTTAAAGGAAGAGAGTTTATTCATGGCTTCTTCATTTTCTGGGGCTAGTGAGACAGGCTGATTCCTGCTACCAATGCATGCCTAGAAAGAGAGAGTGCTAGGTCAGGAGGGTCCTTTTTCTCATGTCAAAACAGAGTGCTGGTGACAGTTTGTGTAAAGAGTGAGTTCCATTTTGGCCATGTAATGTGAGCTATTTACTGCATTCGAGTAATAATCAAAGGACTTGGGATGTTCAGTTTTGTTCCTCTGAAGTGCATCACAGAAGCACTGCAAGTACTACATGATTTTGTTGTCTTGTTCATACACTGTTATTAACAAAGTGATCCCAGTCATCTATTTTGTGTTTTGTAATGAGCTAATAATTCCTTATGTAAAATTAAGCTTGTAGTAAAAATTGTTTCAACCAGTAATTCCAGAGGAGGGCATGCTGCAACTCTCCAGATCACTGCCCTGTCCTGAAGCTGGTCACCAGCTGAGTCAATGGTCACCTCTGGAGCCTTCTAAGAGACAGATAGATAGATTTTGCATTTATTTAAGGGATGTGACATCTCAGTGTGGGAACAGGAGGTACAATAGGCCTGCATATGCCCAAGATGATTACAGACTGCGTTTTTCTCCCTCCTGAATTAAGCGTGTCTGGGTAGGCTAGAAAAGGCAGTGAGGCCTGCTTTCAGGCAGAATGAAAAATCTCCCTGTGGGATTGGTTTCGTAGGGTAGGAAATGAAGGTGGCTGGGTGCAGCACATATATTTGCCAGCAGCCAGGTAGCAGTGTTTTCTGCACTCACTGAAATGTGAGCCTAAAGAAGCACCAGATTGAAGTCCTCTTGTTTCATTTACATTCTGGGAAACCCAGCTGTGACACTGTTGAGCTTGTCTGCAATTAAGAAGGCAGGCCAGGATAGGGTAATGGGCATATTGATCCCACCAAAGCAATGAGTTTCTTATTTATCTGCTTCTGTGTCTTAAGGCTGAATTGGTCAGGCTTTTGCTTCTAATCACATCTATATTGAGATAAAAGCAAACAATACACTGTTGTATGACTTGAGTGGTGGTGAGCTGGAGCTAAATGCTTTAAAAAGTCTTCATTTGTGCCAAATCACCAGTTTCACAACTGCCTGTGTCGCTGTTCTTCATGAGCATTTAGCTTTCTGAGTGGTGGCAGTTGACCTATTTAGGGGAAGCCTTTTGTAGTTTTGAACAGTGCTGACCTGCTCCATCATGAGTTTTCCAGGGCACTAAAAACTTGAGATTCTTAAGGAGTTTCTGTACACACTTGATGTGAGGTGAGCCTATGCTTAGTGACTTAAGTCAACCGTACATATACCACACATATTTCCTGTGTTTTTCTAGTTTCCTACATGACATGTCACAGAAAAGCTGAACAGGGATTTCCTTATTTCCTACCATTACCTTTTTTTTTTTTTAATGAAACTTTTAAATCTGTTCTGTTTTTATGGCCTTAGCATCAGTCTTTGCTTTGAAGCCAGTATGTAAAGATGCCATTGGAATCTGAAAAAGGTTGTAGACTCCTCTGGCTACAAGCAGATTCAGGAGGCCTGTACCCTTCATGACAGGTGTTTTGATGATCTGATTGGTGAGGTAGATTTTATAATGTAACTGTATCTTCAGATTTGACTGAAGTGTCAGCTGAGTGTGAGGGGTAAAATGAGTTCAAGGGATTGGTCTTCTAGTCATAGCTTCTATAGGAACAGGGGGTCTATCCCTGCACTTTCTTACTTATCACTTCATGGCTCTAAGTGGTACCCGTCTGATATTGATTATTTAGTACCCAGAGCTTGCTTGAAAGACTCAAGATCCCCATTGCTGCAGAAACTTTCTTTAGGAAGTTGTTCTCAGCTTAGTAGCACCAGTTTTCTTCCTCAGAAGGCTGGAGCAGACCTAAAAAGCTTTTATGGCTGTTTTTGGGGGACTTAGGAAATGACCAGGACTGTCAATTTATCATCAATGGACTTGTGTTACCAAAGTCAGAATCAACCCTGGCTTCTCATTCTGTCTTGTACTGCCGCTGGTTCCTGTGGTGGCATTAGGGTCTTCACCAGATAGATGACATCAAAGTGAGGAACACCAGTTTATTCTTGCCTCATGGCTTTCTTGGAGTGTAAGAGCTTGAAATCGGAACTGAAGAGGTTGGGAAACATGCTCTCTTTATCCTTCACTTCATGTATCCATCTAGAGAGTCAGATGGCTTTTATTTTAGTCTACCTGGTATTATGTTTTGTTAATTTGCCCATTTGAGTTTGTTGAGGACAGGTAGCCATGTATCTACTCTTAAGTTCCTCATTGCTGGAAGGGAAGTTAAGTGGTTACTGGAATATTAATCTCTGCTCACTCTGGTATCACACACTGGGTTGAACAAATTTATACCTTGTGGGTGATAATCTATTTACTCAGTAAGATTAGGATTGCAAAGGCAGCTGAATCTGCACCAAGACTCCCATTCTTTAATGTTAGCCTTGAAGCCACTTGTCCCCTCTTATTGGGTCCTTTTCTGTAATAACATAGAGATAAAACCTTTCTCTGTTAAAATAAAATTCTCTTAAAAAGAGAATTAAACCTTAATATAAAACCAGAATGAATAGGAAGGAAAAATTGAAGACTTGAATTTCAGTGGCAAAATTTCCTTGCATTAGAAATGTCTGTAACTATGCTCCTACATAAAATGAGGAGATAGGTTTTTATTGCATTAGCAAAAAAGAGTTACATGCTGTGCAATTTTTTTCCCACTGTTTGTGTCCCTTCATAACATCAGGTTGTCTCCATTTAATTGTAGAGTATGTACTTTGCAGTAAAGCTTTTTTTTTCTCAAGGGAACAAACTGCAAAGAAAGACCAGAATTACAGTGACCCTTTAGGAACTGAGCTTATTCATGCTGTGGAAAAACATGAAAAATTTCTTTATGCTACTGTGCTATCACTTGTGACTTAGTTTCTGTACTTAGAGAGAATAACAAATTCTTTGGGGGTATTTTGTAAAAGAGAATGCTGGTGCAGTCCTTGGAGAGGATTGTAAGATAAACTTGGAATACATGGGAGTTTACCAGAACCAAAAAAGCCTGAGACTATCTCTGTAGCCTTTGTCTTAGTCTTAGATAATGTCATTGGTAAAAAAATCTCTGGCTGAGCTGTTGCTGTTAGACTGCACACTGAAGCTAGGCCTTCTTTTGGGAGTGGGAGGCTCAGTCAGCAATGACTTCTCTTTGGGCATTAGAGGAGAATCAGGCAGGCTGTTCCTGCTGAGTCTTGGAAACAGTTGGAACCTCCTGGTGTAATTCCAGTCTAGCAAACTGTAGGGGTGAAATGTGCTATTGTGGATTCTAGTAGCAGGAGAAGGTACTATGGAACTTGGTATCTTTGTTTCTTCTGTTCTTCCCTTATAACAGTAGTGGCACTAGGTGGCTTGTCATGAACCTGGCATTGCCACAGTGTGAGGCATGTTTTGCTCTTTCAGTTGTTGTTCTCTTTACCCTCTCTGCAGAGGGAAATGGCAACCTTGCTGAAGTTGGCAATTGCAGAGGATATACTTTTAATTATCCTATGCTTGTGTGACTCCACATCTTTGTCCTGCCTGTGTATTTTTTATTTCAAGTGGTAGTGGAGATTCACAGTGGAAGGGTACTGTGACTACTGTGTTTTATCTAGAAAGTGCATTTTCCAAATGTGGAAGAGGGCCAGCAAGATATTTCTGAGTAAACTTCTGACTGTTCTTAGCACAAAGATCTGCTCAGCCTTGCATGTAATCTATGAGGCTTGATGCAATTGCCAGAACATGGATATTATGTAGCTCCTGATGCCCTGAGGCAAGCAGAGACATCTCTCTAGGGCATGTAGAAGTCTCAGAATATGTGAAACTTGGGGCATTATGGAGCAACAATGGAGACTTCCTAGGAGACCCTAAGTCATTGCAAGTGGCTTTAGAATCTGTGTTTAACAATGGAATTGAGTCAACAGGGATACCCTGAAGAACTTATTGTCCTAATAAATAAGGCAGACACAAGGGAAAGGAATGTGAAGCTCCAGCAGCATGGTTAGAGCTAGCTGAGGTCGAAAGGTTTCCCATGTGTATTTGAAAAAATGGACAGAATGACTTAACTGGGTGGGAAAGATGGAGCTTTAAAGAGCCAGCAATTTGCAAGAGAATTGTGTGGGAGAGGAGCACAAAGTCAGAGGAGCCAAAACACTAGCAAAGGGCCTCCGAGGAGCCAAGGAAAGGAATGGCCAGCAGCAAAAGAAGTAGGAGCTAGTCAAAACAAAATGCACTTCTTCCTGCCTGGGGCTGGGAGGCTGCAGACCAGCAGCTGCTGCAGGCCCACTCATTGCTTCTCTGCCTTGGGCACGAGCTGCTGAGTTTTCTGTGCTGTTAATAGTCATGGGTCTTCACCAAACCTGAGACTGTACTTTGAAATAATGTATTAAAGTAATTTGGAAGTTTCTCCTGGTCAAAATGCTTTACTAATATTTATCCTTACTATCCCCACCTTCTCCTTTTCCCTCTACTGCAGCCATTCCTGTCTGGGAAGCAAGAGAGTAAAATGTAGATTCAGCCTCATTTCTTTGCAGTGAAGCAGTTCTGTAACTCTCTGCTGTTTTTGTTTCTCCTTCAATGTCTGGCTACAGACTCTAGAAGAGTGAGCAGGCAATGCTCACTCTTCTGCCATTTCCCTACTTCCAAGTCTCCCCCCTGACCCTAGCTCATTGACTTCCCATTTTTAGCTGCATGAGCTTTTGCACAGCTGCCTGCATAGGAAGATCTTGTCAAGCAGTCCAGCTCCCCAGAGCCAGCATCAACGTCAGGCAGGCGACAAAAGGCCAGGGCCAGAATTAAAGGAAAGAAACATGGCAAAGAAGTTCTCCTGCTTTTATTTCAGGCACTAGGGAACTGGTTAACTCCATGAAAATCCTTCTCTGCCAATACCCTGTTTTGTGGTGTTTTAAAAAAAATATTGCCCTGATGATTACCAAGTCTATTTCTTAATGCTGAAGGAAGGAATTGCATTAATGCCAGCTTCTGATTTACACTCCTCTTTGTGCATCCTTCTTGCAACTCTTTCCAAACTAGAGAAAATGTGTATAGAGTGAAATAGTAAAATCTGATTTGGAATGGGAAGCTGGCTCCCATCTGACCTGTGTAGAGCAGAACACATCTAGCAGATGTAATATGTTATGACTGTTTTAGAAACTAAGGAAAAAATATTTCTGTTGTGGTTTGCTTCAAAGTGGCAAGCTATCAATAAGCTAAGAAGTTATGGAGGGTTGTCCATGTAGATGGAGTTGCTGAGGAGAAGTCTGCTGTAACCCCATGGGATGTTGCAGAAAACATACAGGAATACTTTAAAAGAAGCTGATGCTTGAAAAAAGCAAGATTTTCTCTAGCTGACTGGAACAATGAATAAAGGGATTAAAAAGTGGTCGGGAGAATGAAATTTTGTTGTTTCTAGGATCCAGTGGAAGAAGTAGATTTAAGCTGCAATGCTTGTGTCAATTCTATGTGAAAGCAAGTAGTAGGGTTCTGTATGAACTACAGCTTGAGAGCAGTAAAGAGTTTTTTATTTTTCTACATAATACTTTCCTAATATTTTTGTTCCCCTGTTCCCCCACCCCCCCCCCCCCCAGGGCAGAATATATTTAAGTTTAATTCTGAGGATGTGAAAATTGCTACTTGAGAAATGTTATTATTTGTTCATCCCTAGAGAGTTTACTGGATTTAACATATATAGTTTAGTTTCTACCAGGTCATTTCTATCTACTGTTGGACCTTATGTGAATGTTTAAAGATGCAGTGAGGTAAACTTGGTGTCTGCTGTGTTTTCAGAGCTCTATGGTTTTGATGTCCTTATTGATGACACTCTGAAACCCTGGCTGTTGGAAGTGAACCTGTCTCCATCATTGGCCTGGTAAGTGATTCCCAATTTAATATCAGGCAAGGACTGTTGCTGTAGATGGTTGTCTTGGAAATGTGTGGTCCAAGGAGGGCATGGTTTCCTGATGCCTGCAGATTTTGTTCCACAGCTGATTGGAATACTCCAATCAGAATACTCCTTTGCTTTTTTTCCTTTGGATTAACAAACTTACTGCAGCAATAGGTTTTGAAAGAGCCCAGTTGGGATTCCATTTACTTTTTAATTATTTCTCTTCCATTGTCACTGTTAACGATTCATAATCTCTCATTATAGATAAATTTTGGAGCTCTGTCAGACTATTGTGTTGGATTTCAATCTTCTTGGCTGATAGAAACTTTTAGTTTTTGGAGTCCAAGCAGAGTTCAATCAGTTGCACTTTACTCGAGTATGTAGATGAGTTCTTGGGCTCAGTCTAGTACTCTAATCAGATAAATTCTAAAGAGTGAGTGTTGACTTGGCCCTTTTGCTGACCCTCATGCTCTAATGGAAATTGAGGGTTTATTTTGGTAGGTCTCTCAGCTATAACTTTATGTGGAAGAGGCATAGTTAAGAGTGGTTTTTAAGAGTTCTACAACAGTAACTTTTATCTACTTCATGAAATGTAACATACATACATTCAAAGAAAATGTTTCTAACCCTAAGGAGAGTTTAAACAAAGCTGTATATGTCTGCATTAGGACACTAAAAACTGTGGAAAAAGGATAAACAGATTTAAGCCATTGCTGTCTGATCTTTACCTATGTATGTGAAAATCACCTAGTTTTCTTTTTGTTTTTACCTGTTTTAAGAAGGCAAGGAAGCTGTATTGGAAGATATACTAAATACTGATGCATTCCTCTCATTTAATGCCAGACAAATAATTCCTATTATCCTCTGTTGCATGTGGGGACAGTGATGCTCCTTTGGACCTGAAGATCAAGGCTAGCATGCTTTCAGATATGTTCACTCTTGTAGGTGAGTGAAACAAAAAAATCCTTCAGTCTTTCCCTCATTTAAAACCAGTTAAAGGTAGGTTTATGAGCTGCATGTTACTAGATGAGTATAATAGGTGTGAACTCTAGTTAAGGAGAGCAGCTGTATTTAGCACTGAGAAGTGATATATGGACATTTCAGCTTCAGAATAATCATCTGTTTGTGATGCTTAGGTGGTTTTAAGAGTCCCTAATTTGGCATTTCAAGACACTGCTCTCTTTAGCTTTCAGAGTTAGTATTCATGCATTTTTAAAGTTGAATGTGTGGGTTTTGGTTGGGTGACGAAACTTGGAGTACTGTCTAGAGCAGTGTCCCTTGCATCTTGATTTAGTTGCTTGATGCAATTTGCCTTAGTAGTGAAAGAAGTAAAATTGTCATCAGGTATGCTGCTCAGCTGTTTAAAAAACCAAGTCTGTCTCTCTGCTGCTATTCAGTAACCCATTTATTGATTTAAGTACTTGGTATTGAAGCAATTTTTTGTTGAAAAAATAAATGTAATGCAATTACAGTTTAGGATTAAACAAAGCAAGGTATAAAAAAGAAAAGGATTCTTATTGGTCCTTGGGCAGGGACAAGAAGGTCTTGTATAGACTGAGATGGTGAACAGAAATGCTAGATTCATCTTTCAGGGTTTGTCTGTCTTCAAGTTCTCATGCAGCTCTTGGTGCCCATAGGCTTTGTGTGCCAGGACCCAGGCCAGCGGTCAAGCCGGAGCATTTATCATTCGTCTGAATCTGTCAGAAGAAATCCGTTCCAGAAGCTGCAGGTAAGTGACTTTCACAGGCCCTGGCTGAGGAGCATAGGAGGAAGTCATTCTCATAGAACTTGCCTCATGGGTGAGAGAGGCAGTGAGTGAGATTATCTGGATTTCTGGCATAACTATGGAAGATGAAATCTTTACCTGTGGGGGTTGTGGGGCACTGAAACGTTGCCCAAAGAGTTTGTGGACTCTGTATCCCTATAGGTGTTCGAGACCAGGCTGGATGGGGCTTTGAGCACCTTGTTCTACTGGAAGCTTCCCTCCCCATGGCAGGGGAGTTGGATCTAAATAACCTTTAAGGTCTTTCCAACCCAAACCATTCTGTGGTTCACAGGGGATACACCTGCATTCTGGGCTGTTCAGCCACTTTGATTTTGTTGTGGACAACAAGCTTCCAGGACCCTGGAGCTTTATGAATGTCTCTCCTAGACCTTCTCCTAGGTGAAAAACTTCTTGCATTTGAAGTTTAAGGCTTCTTTCCCATTCACTTTTGGAATCTCACTTTCTTTCCCATGGATCATTGGACTGAGGCCTCATGTATCTTACTGTGACTGCCCCATGTCTTTTCTGTTGAGGTAGTGCTTTCTCAGCACTGTAATGTGGAAGGACAGTTGTTCTCCATCTCTTTTTGTCTATAAAATGGATTCCATAAATATCTGTGGAAATAGAGCATTCACAAAGGGCAGGGAGATCTGTTACATCACTTGGACTTTCAACTCATTTCTCCTCAGGCAAATAGGCAGATGGTGTTCTTTGACATCTCTGCAGCTGGTGGTGCTGTGATGGACATGCAACATGGCTGTGTAGCTCAAGTTCAGTTAGGAAATGTCAAGTCATTTTTGTTCAGTGACAGTGTACTAAGACACTGTCCATTTTGGTATAGGGAAAACTCACAGAAATTGCAATGTTTTGTCTCTTGTAAAACTCAAGAGTCTTTAGTCACTGTGAGAGAGGTGAATAGCTGGTAAGGTGAGATTTGAGTATCTTTAGGATGCATGTCTGAAACTTCTAAGACAAATATAATAATGCCTTAAATACAGATCACTCTGACTGTATAGGTGCTCTTTGTAGCAGACAAAAGGTACATGAGATAAATTAGAAACCATTCAAAAGAATTACCCTTCTTAGAGTAATGGGATCAGATCCTGATGATTCAACAGAATTATACAAGACAGTCTCAGAAAATTAAGCTGTTGTAAAGAATTGAATTTTAATGAGGCTTTCAACTTTGTTTTGCTTAACAAATACCCACAAAGAGATGTAAGGCCGGCCAGTTGAAAGTTGCAAAGATTCATATGACAGTGCATTGGTTATGAGACAGGATTAGGTGATTGCCCTAACTACCTATATTTAATAGGAACAGGTTTGTGATGCAGTCATAGTTTTACAGCATTTTTTTTCTTAAGTACCTAAGTGGAAATCCCATGGCTAGATAGGTGTTTGGATCTTTCCATGGTCCCAGAATGTTTTAGCTTGTTCTTTGCTGAATATGTTCTATCTCAGATTTTTGGATTTTCAATACCTGTTCCAATTTTCTATTGCAAAGGCTATATGTAATCTTTTGGTTTTTCCTACCACCTTCATGATGTTTTAAGTTTTGATCATTCATATAGGCCATTTTTCATAATTGTAAAAGTTGCTGCTTGAAAAAGAACTGTTGGTGCCTGTGCTCTTGAGAGTGCTCTTGAATAACTATCTTGAGATGGTTACTCTCTTTTCTGAGTTTTGCCAGACTGGACTGCAAGTTTCTTGTACAATTACTTTGGTTTGACTCTTTGAACATTTCTCCCTCTAGGGAGATGAACAATTTTGCTGCTTCCATTGTAACTTCTTGTGGATTTGGGTTGGAGCTCTTTCAGTTAATTGTAAGCAGTGGAGGGACCTTGATCTGTTTTGAGTAGGCCAACTGTAGAGAGGAACTTGTCAGTAGTACAGCTAGAAATGATAGATAGGATTCTCAGGAGACCTTTCTTCCCCCATTTGCTCCTCTTGGGTGTTGGAAGAGGAAGACACTCTGAATACCACTGAAGGCAAGAAAAATCTCAGCTCTGATTGTTTGCTTTTGAACCTGTCCTTAAACTGGTTTTACTTGTAGGCCTGATACCAGGTAAGTAATACTTCTTGACATTCTGATGTTTCTACACCAGTGTTAGAATGTTAAGTAGTATCTTTTTTCTCCACAAGAACTGGAATATTGTTGATATATTTAAATGAAAGTACTTGCAAAACTATGGGATTTTTACTTTTTTCCTCCCTCTGTTCTGTGAACAATTTTACTTGACAGCATCTCTTTCTCCTTGATGCATAGCTATTAAATATTTTTATATGGGTGACTCTTAATTTACAAAAACATGAATTTTGCTCATCATAGTTGAGTTCAGTGTGCTTTTGAAAACCATATGTCCAGGTGCATTCTGCACAGTTGAGCACATCTGAGCTTAGAATGAATGCTGTGTTTGGAATGGGGACAGGATACATTTGTGCAGGATATGAGGGAGATAAAAGTGGTTAGCTTTATCTCTGGACTTCAGTTATGATAGAATCATAGAGTGCTTTGGATTGCAAAGTACCTTAAAGACTATCAAATTTCAACCCCACTGCTTGGACAGGGACACCTTCCACTAGACCAGGTTGTTCCAAGCCCCATCCACCTGTCTTTGAACAGTTCCAGGGTTGGCACAACTTCTCTAATCAACTTGTTCCAGTTCCTCACCACCCCTGCTTATACTGTTTTGTTTAGGGTACTTGCCAGACCTCAACAAGTCAGGCAGGGGTCATAGTGTCTTGGAGAACACAAGATTTTTATTCTCTTTGTGTGTCTCTTGCAGCGTCCTGTGTCTGCACAGTCACAAAGAGCAAACAGCAGATCAGTAAGTACCCTTCAGCTCCATCACCCATGTAAGGGCTACACTTTCAAATGTTACTGTGTGCAATGCTTTTGGCATTGTTAATTCCCAAATATATTTTACACTTTGAGTAGCCTGGGGCAAGGGGGATGGGAGTGAGAGGGAAGTCAACATGAGAAGAGGACATGGCACCAGCATGTTTCCATGCAGCAAAAACAAATGTTGAAAAAAATATTTACATCGCTTCTAGTAGCTTAAAAAAAAAAGTAGGTGAAGCTTGCTGAGAGTCAAAGTCAGCTGGATCAAATCCCTCAAAGTTTTTAAGACTACAAGTCTGAATGATAAGGTAAGCACAGGAGAATCTGTGCAGAAAAAATTCAGGTGGCCCTACAAGAGAAGTAATCATTTTCTTTGAGGCAGTCCTCTGAAGGACACTGCAAAAGTTTGAGAGTGAACTGAGTCAAAATAGATGCAGAGAAAAGAAGGATTTCTTAAAGTTAATGGAAAAATATGAGACTATTTTTAGCCTAAGTGAGACTGATCTACCTATCTTAGTATTATGTTTGTTACCCTTACAAGCTGTATAGACAAATCAAAATTAGTTTACAGTTCTAAGCTATTGGCCATGTGGAGACATGTTAGGCATTATTTTGCTGCTGGGCTTCCTGCACAAATGTAGTAGGAGTTATTATTTTTTAATGGGACTTCCCCATCAGGAAGAAAAGGTAGATGGAATCATCTTGAGAACCTAATTCAGTCTGTTCCCTGCTGTTTGTCATTCTGAGTAAGTTTAGCTGAGGTTCAGAGGAAAGAGTATTACTGAATTACAAGGTTTTGTAGAGAATAGGAATGATCTTTGTGCCAACTGCTGTCAGTGCTTATTAAATTAGAATCATGATTTGGGAACCAAGGATACTTGCAGAATTGGAGATAGACCAGAGTGGTTTGATTTATCTATACTTTTATAGATAAGCTGGGTCAAAGAGGAAGCAAGATCTCTGAAGTTGGAGACATTTCTGTGCTACAGCCAGAGGGTATTCTGTAGTGAAATATGGAAAAAACTGTGCAGGAAGTCCAGCAAAGAGAGTTTTCTCTAAAATTGTGACAGCCATGTAGTTTTGCTCTCAGGGAGGAGTCAGAGCTGCCCAATACGTGCACATACATTTACTGTTTGTATTTAATGCAATCATCTCTGTTGTGTTGAGACAATGGAAATGATTTCATTGAAGTGTTTCCTTAGTAAAGCAGCTAATTTAATAGATTGAAGAATTTCCTGTAATATTCTCTTGGAACAACAGTTCTCACATGATGATGGATTGTTATGGTAGTGCCAGGAAATGAGAAATGGTTTTTAAGAGAAATGGTTTTTGCCTCTCAGGTTTTAGAGAAAGTTGTTAAGAAACATTTTTGAGCTGTGGAGTAGAAATGGAAGGAAGGTTAGAAAGAAAGACTTACAAGTCTTTAAACTTAGTGCCATCCACAGCATCAAGCAAACCTGTTTGATTGCTGGCATTTTATTTCTTCTACAGATGTTTGTGTCTCCTGCCTTTTCATCCAGATTGTCTTGTTTTCTCTTATGTTTTTAATCAGACTTAACAAAATGTTACAGCTGGTACCTGCTATGTTTGTTTTTTCTTTGGATTTTTCTGTGCCAATCACTGCAGTATTACCTATTCTAGTGCCATGCCTGTTGCTTTTGCTGTTGCTTCATCTACAGATTCTGAGTAGCCACTTCTCATTTCTGTTGAAATGGAGAGAATGGAATTAAATTCCCATAGTCTTTACAAATACAGATGCTTCCTGATCTTGCCATGGAGTTTTTTTTTTATATCTGAGCAGTATGGGATATTCCCTTGGACTTACCCACCTTAAGGTTTCTGTCAGGTTTTTATCTTCTTTCTAGATTAAGGCTTTTTGTGCATTCTTTGCTCAATATAGAGCTAAAATAAACTTTTGAATTTAGTAAAAATGCTTGAGACCTTCTCAGTAGACTCTTTTAATGCTATTTTTTCAGAGGTAGTTTATCTAAACTGAGCCTAAGACCATCTTAAATGTACTTGAGAGCAAGTTGAAAGATTTTTTTGCTTGGATTTTAAAATTTTATAATCCTGATGATTTGAAGACATTTTGAATTCCTGCTCTTTTGTTAGAATTGGCCAGGACTGCCCATCAGGTTAAAAATAAGCTTAGTGACACGGTCTGCAAATTATTGCTTATTTTTAAAAGTTTGCATATGTATGCAAATTTGCATGATGTATCTGTGTACATCTGCAGAATGTGTCTGTTAAGTGTGAGAAGTAGCAAGTTGAAATTGAGCAGTATAGCAACAGAAGAATAAAAGGCGGTGAACTTTTCCCTGCAGCTTTTATCTCACCGTGGAATCACAGTTCTGTTGTTCTAGTATAGCAACACAGCTAGAACAGAGAATCATGGTTCTGGTACCACTGATGTGTGAATCCAAATGTATTTGGTTCTTGTGTGTGCTGACTCCAGTGCCCCTTGGGTGAGGATTTTCCTGTATGACATTCTGACTTTGCTGTTTTTGGTATGTCTCCTGTTTTTGCAGAATGGGCCAGCGGTGTAAACATTGGCAGTGATGCCTGAATTGTGCCTGCTGTGCTAAAATCTAAGAATCTGAGTACTCATATGTAGTGACATTTGGGCTGTGGACTCTTCAACAGCTGGGGTGTGGAATTGTGAATTGTGGCCTGTAGTGCCCTGAAGTGTAGATCCTGTTAGGAATGGGGTCCTGGAATTTGAATGTAATTTTTTTAATATGAAAATTGAGAGAGGAAAAAACAAATCTGGACTCACACTGTCTCTACAGCATACCCGTCCTCTGTCTGCCGGCGATGCTGAAGTGAAAAGCTCAATGCCCTTAGGCAGGGAAAAGGCAGCAGGAAGGCACAACAGCTCTATGCTAGGCCTCTCCATGGAGGAGGTAAGGAGGCTATTAAATAGCTTTTATTTACCTTGGCTTTCATGCAGTATGTGGGGCTATTTGCTCAACAAATGGCAGGTGCATATAAATGAAAAATGTGAGAGAAGAGTAATTTTTGAAACAGAATTTGAGTTTTACTGCTCGTATTGCGCTTGCCCGCAATCATGCCAAGCAGAGATGTGCTTGAAGCCGTGATAGACTCCTTCCAAATTTAAATGCAAGACAAAATTCATTAAGGATATCATTATCTACTTAGTCCATTTGCAGGACTGAATAGTCTTTTTTTCTGAAATGCAGAGATTTTTGGAAGGTTTATTTTTCCTTGTTTTCTATTTTGCTGACTGTTCTCTATTTTTCTTTTTAATCAGATCAAAGTTCTTCGACGAGTGAGGGAGGAAAATGAACGGAGAGGAGGCTTCATCCGGATATTCCCTACCCCATTAACATGGGACCTTTATGGGTAAGAATAAAAATCCGATAGGATGGCACTAATGCTCCATGTTGATGGATATTCTGTGTTAGAAATGTGTAGATCAGCTATCTTGGCATTTTAAAAGATGTGTTAAAAGTTTTGGCAAAGTTTACTTTAGCCTTGAATATTCTTTTTTCTGATCCCTTGTTCAGAAAAAGGGATCAGCTGCTGCTTTGCATAACTGCACCCCATGGAAAGCTGTTGGACATTATTTCTGGTATTGCTTTTCTGTTATAATAAAAATGTCTTCCTTTCAGATTTTTGCTATCTACTTTTACATCCTCAAGCTGTGCACTGTGTACTCTTGTCATTAGGCCATAAATGCCATATAGAACTCACTCCTTCTGAAAGTTATACTATATTACAATTTTCTATGTTTATTTTTCCAGTCTGTAATGTTTTCTCTGTCTCTTGCATCACCAGGAACTTCAGCTCAGAAATGATAGCTCTCCTCCTTTTGTCTTTTCTGTTGTGGTGCACCATGTTGTCTGAATCCCCTTCTGGGATATGTTTTAGAGGCCATTTATTTCTGCACTGTACTGCCTTTCATTGAGTTGAGCTGTCTTGATAATCCTCTTTTTTTTTTTTTTCTTTTTTCCTTTTCCTAGATCTTTTCTAGAGCACAAGACATCAATGAACTACATGCTGGCTACACGTCTGTTTAAGGACAGGTAGAAAGCTTCTCTGTTTGGGAGAGAGGTAAAGGGCACAAACAGTACAAAAAGGATTGATTCATCATTTATCCAATGTTATAAACACAAGTCTGGGATTTATAGGAGCGCTGATAATTGTGCATCTCTTTTCTAGTGTGCAAATGATTGTTGGTCATATATTTGTGTTGCTTTTCTGAAACCAAGGGCAAAAATGACAATACTCAAAAGGCATGGGAATCTTTGGAGTACTAATATTACTATAGGCATGAAAAGACTTCAAGATCTTATATGATTTTTTTTCTCTGTGAAAGGGTTATAGGTGGTCCTGGCTTACCTTTTGTTTCAAATTTCAAATCACATTAAAGTTTGTCTTTATGTACAGTAAGCCCTGAAATTGACTTCTCCAATGTTTTAGTATCCCTGTCTTGATCTGTGCAGTCATGATTTGATGATTCTTTTTCTGGGTGGTGGGAACAGTTCATGCCACTAGCTGAGCTTCCACTGAGTTGTATGCAGTGTCTTTCACTGTGTGTTTAATGCCCTTCCTGATCAGCATTTCTTCTTGTGCAAATTTGAAATCCACTATGAAGTAACTACTAAGACAAGGTGACTGAGAAAGGAGACAGGATTTACAGAAGTTCTTCCAGCATCAGTGCTGTACAATTTTTTTTCTCTGTGTATGTTCAGGGATGTGTCTAAAGAGTTTTTCTAAATGATGCTTTCTCCAGCTTAAGCCAGACAAATGCAAGCATCAGTTGTAGTACAGCTGCTCAGGGCTCCTCTTTTGGAGCCCTTTTTATTTTTTCTTCTTTAAGATAGAACTCAAGCAATTCTGTAAATATGGTCTTTACATTGTACATGTGAAAGACTAGGAAGGCTTGTTAATCAAGGCTGATCTGGTATGGAGAGTAATTTTTGACCTTTTTCTCTATGTAGGAGCAAGACAAAAAGAGAGTTCCTCACTGGAAGATCCCGGTAAATAGCTTCTTAATTAAATAATTTGTAGGATTTATTATAAATTTAGATTTCCTTAGCTTCATCTTCTAAGTTGTGAGTCAACACCTTTCCTACCTGAAATCCATGAAAATAACTTTAGAAACATAAATACAGTGCAAAAAGAATATACCCAGATATGGAGAGCTCATGTTTTCATTGGATCTTAAAATTTCTCCTCATACACTTCTCACTTTGGTATTCCTATCATATTGATAAGCCTTATCATTGAGCTCTCTTTGAAAGATCTTGTCATGCACAAGGATTTGGACTTCATATACTCATATATTCACTTTGTTAGAACTAAAAAGATAAATGAAACAATAAGCATTTTCTGTGCTTGTTTACTCTTATATCATGGGGAGCACTTTTCTGGATTTTTGTGCACTGGCAGAAAATTGTTACTTTTGATGTTTCCCTTCTGGAATCTGGCAGGGCTCCTTGTCCCTTGTCTTAGGTCGAACTTGTAGAAAGTTTGGCATTTTCCACTTTTATTATGTTAAAATGCTTATATCTGATCAGTGAAGAACAAGCTGTCTACATAAATGGTTCAAACAATCAGATTCATGTAAACATGCTCTCTTTCCTTCTCTATTTTGTACTCTTGTAATGTTAATTGTGCCCTGAGCTGTTGCACGATGGGCAGAGGCTGCTCAGTCATGAAATTGTGACACTAGGTGGGTGTGTCTTGGAGCTTTGAGAGGTGGAGTACATACAAGACTCTCTTCAAACATTTACAGGCTTAAGTAGAGCAGAGTTAGACTGATGGTAAATATTTCTTCCGTGTATCAGCAAGAATGTTTCTTGAAGTTTGGTCTCTTGTGTTATCAGGGAGAGAAAGATAAAGGGTGACTGAGGGATATCTGTGTACTGTGCTTCCCAGAGCAGGTCTCCATGGAAGGCTGGATAGGAGGATGGAAATTGTGGGCTCTCATGCTCTCTTTTATGAGAGGAAGCTCGTTTCACTGGAGTTACGGAAGCGGCGGCGATACCGTGGCAAGGTTGGAGCAGCACAGGCAAGAGCATTAGGTATGCATGGCTAGAGTTCTAAATGAGCAGCTGGTAAAAAAAAAAAGGCAAGCAAAGGACTTTTTCATTTGAAATGTGTGTGAATGGGGTTGTTCTGTTTCAAATGTTAATAGTTTTCACTTCATTCTAGTTCTGAGCTTCTTGTTTATTTAGTGCCTTGAATTTCATTCCCACCTTCCCACACTTCCATGTGTATGATTAAAGGTAATCAGTGCTTACTTAGAGATGAGCTTGTTTGTTGCATTTTGGGTAAAGAATTCAACAGTATGTGTGCCTCTGTAATTCTTCAGCTTTTCAGAGAAAGATGGGATCTTTCAGATTGATTCTCCTAGACAGCTGTGACTCTTAAGCTGTTGGGAACAGAAGTCCTTATCCAAGCTGGTGTTGGAAAAACTTAAAGGGGTACGGAGGTGAATGATCCCCACAAGTGACTGTTCCTGCCTTTATCTAAGCTCTTTCTAGTAGCTGTATGGTACTGATTGCAGTAGGAGAGATTGGATGTTATAAGATGGTTTTTGCTGCTGTCTTAAGCTCTATGATCATTATTGGCTCATGTGGAAGTTTAGATTTTTGTAGCTTTATTTGACACACAGCATACAAAAATTTGTGTGTGTGTATATATATATATATCAAGTGTGGGTGTAGGTATGTCAGTATGTATGTAAGAATCAGGATAAAAATAAAGGAAAATGCCTTTGCCTCTTTGATTTTGTGTGGGCGTTCTTTTTTCATTTGTAAGGCTAAAACAAGAATCTTAGTGTTCTTTTGTGTTCTGTAATACTGGGAAAATGGACTTCTCAACTGATGTACAAGATGAAAGACAGAATAATATAGAACAGTCATACTTAAGATGGTGTTCTAAGATGGCAGTGTTCTGTCCTCCTAGCAGAAAGGAGTTTAGGGGTAAACAAAAGGGTGTGAGCAGTAGACAGTCCTCTCCACTTTCTTCGTGATTTCTCCTCTACTACAGGCACATCAGAACCAACAAAGCTGTCCTTCAAGTCTGACATGGAAGGTGAGGAGGAAGAGGAGATGGATGAGGATGAAGATGAAGATGTAGATAGAAGTGTTTGCTCTCTTTCGGACACTCCGGTGAAAAACAAGCCAGAGCTCTCTGACTCAGTGAAAACTGCTTGTAAGGAGAGGTTACCAAAAAAACATAACAAAAAAACTGGAAATGGAGAAAAGCTGTTTCTGAAAAAACCAGACTCAAAACCTCAGTTTAACTTGCTTCAGATTCTTCAGAATCAAGGAAATTTGAGGTGAGAATTTTCTGCGTATTGCCTCTAGTTTTGACTTGAAGTTAATAAGAGTTAAAATATGGAGGATGCACGTTATGAATGTGAAGGGATAAGAAGGCCCTAGAAAAGGGCCTAGATTTTTGTCTAACTGTGGGCTGCCTTAACATCTTGTTGGTACAGAAGGGAGTCCGTTGCAGAGTCTGACAGTTTACCCGAGTGCCTGACCTGTTGGATCAGTGTAAAGCATGACCCTATAGTTTCCATTGCTGTTCTTTGATCTGATGATGTAAGCTGTTCTTTGTCAGCTCAGGCTTCTAAAATGCCTCTGACTTAATGCAGGATGTCTGTTACTGAATTCTAATTTTTTTTCTTCTCATTCTTTGCATTTGCCAAGAAGTGGTTATAAACATACATTAAATTATCCAGGAAGGGTTGGATAGGAGTATCTCAGTGCTGTCTCTCTGTAAAATTAGTTTTCTCATTTTGTGATTTTATTTTTGATGGTAGAATTTTTCCCTCTGGTAGTAATCTTTGCTCAAGGTCATGGCCTTCTGAGAGCAAAATTAGGAAGTAACTTGAGAATGACAAATTACTGAAACATCTCATTGCATGTTGTTGAGTAGGATGGTGTGGAATAGAGTGTCTTCTGAGGCATGGCTCTTTCTTGGAAAAAAAGATATACTGGAGGAGATTCTATAGAAAAACACCAAGCAAGGTTTTAACCAAATGTTTTGAAACACGATCCTCCCCTTGAATGTGGTTAGCAAAACTGTCTAATTGCAGATGGACAGAAAGTACAAAAAGAAAGGATGGTTATATATGCCTGAGTAGGAAGACTACACATCTTCTAGACAAGAAGCAGCGTTATGTTTTCTGTGAAAAATAGAGGTAGAGAAAATGTTTCTTCTTGTTGCTTTCTTAGTTTAGTTTCTGGGAGAAACTATGAATTATTCAATAGCTTTGGGGATTGTTCTGATGTCTTATTGTGGCAAGGACATTTGCTGCTGTGACAGGGAAGATTCTGAAACCTCTTTTGAGGATAAACATAGCAATGCTGTGTCTATATCTATATATATATAGAACTGACTCCTGCCAAGAACATAGTCTCTGTCTGATGTTCCTGGCAGAATCTTGCTCAGCACCCAGCACTGTTGGGATTCCCCACAGAAGGGTATAAGGCTTGTGGTGACCTCTTGTTCTGAGATTGTGTTGGGCTTGGCCCCATCTGGGATGTCATTCATGTAAGCTTTGCTTATGGGCTCAACAGGCAGAGGAGCTGAATAAAATTTTCATCCAAGAAAAACCAGGCCTATTCTAGTCAGTTTTTGTAAGTGGTAGGACTTTTCTCTCCTTTAGTCAGCCTGATGAGGAAATATCTGCCTTCCACACTTTGGGTGTTACTGGTAAAGAAATTATAGTCAAAGCAAACCTGTTCCCAAGGAAGTAAAATGAAAAGCAAGTTACTTGTTTCTGAATTTAAGGCCTCAGGTTTCAATATCACCCCCACAAAAGGAGAGGCAGTGTTAAACAAAAGCCTTCTGTAGTTTTTAGTCAGAAATTTCAGGTGCAGGCAAAGACCTGTATTATTGTGCTGATGTTGATAATGGGGGCTTTTTATCAAGCAGAAATCTTGAACTGGTCATGAGATGTTTGAGTTGTACCTACACCAAAACTGGCAGCTCTAGAAAGCCAAGGTGAGAGCTTTTTCTGATACATGGTGGCCTGATGTAGAGAGTATCAGCTCTCAGCAGGGATTCGGAGAGTTCTCCCAGTGTTCCACACATGTAGAATGAAAAGGTAGATGTAGTGATTAGTAGCATGCAGAGCTCAGAGGTGTCACAAGGCCTGCTGTGCATTCTGGAGTTCACTGAAGTTCCTGGAAGACAGAAATTGTAACCATGTATAGTTGCTGCAGTATAGCTATGAGCAGGATGTGTACTTGTCATTGGCTTAGCCCTTCTCTGGCCCTGTGTGACCTTCCAAAAGCATCAAAAGTTGATGATTAAGCTGATACATGGATACTTCCAATGTATTTTATTTTAGCTCCAATTCTTACCTAAATGGATGCATTGATCTCTCTGAGTGTTGCTATGGTATGATTTCTGTGTAACACTAACATAATGTTCCTGAAATTTTTAGACCTATAAGCCAGAAAGACTTAATTGCTGCACAGAGTTTTTAATAGCATTTCAAGGACTTGTGTCCCTGGAGTCATAAGGACTATATAAGTATGTAAGAATATTTGTAAGAAGCAGAATACAAGTAGAAAAAATGTGGTGAGGTTCCTCAGGAATTGGTCTGAGGCTGATTATATAATCAATAATGCCACAAAATGTACAAATATGCTAATGAAATTTGCTGATAGAAAATATTTGGGAGTTATTACCATAAGAAAAAAGTAGTGGACTACATATGAGAAACTGGATGACCTTGAGGATATAAATAATATAACTAAGATGAAATTCAGTAGCACAAAGTACAACGGGATGCTTATAAGAACTAATAATTTACACCAGAAGTTCTGTCAGCTGGGTGTTCATCAACTAGAAATTAATTATAAGGAAAAATGTCTTGCACGCTGGTTGATCAGAGGAAGTTTGTGAAGTCCTAGCTCATGCATGCATGAAAACACCAAATGTGTTCCAGGGCTTATCACTTGACATACTTCTGAGACTTGATGTGGAATATTGTATCACCCATATTCATGGAAGGCAAATTGTGAGTGGAACACAGGTGGAGGTGAGCTGCTGGTCTCATCATGTCACCATTGTGGGTGCTTTGTTAGAGGACACTGGCAAATGTGGGTAGTTCACATTAATAAAAGGAAAACTATGAAAGGATGCAACTCTGTTAACAAAAACATTCAAGGTGGGGGATCTGTCAGGGATTATATTTAAGGTACAGGACAATGTTGGAGAAAGAAAAAGCAATTATAATCTGCTCATAAGTGAAGCTGTGCTGGGCAGAAAGAGGAGATTCCTATTTATTTGAACAGTAAGTTCTGGAATAATATTTCAGGAAAGTAATGGGTTCAAAACTCTAGTTTGTTGAAGATGAAATTTAAAATTCTACAGAGCATATTAGGACACTTCCTGTGATAGAAAGGGAAATCTGTTGCTGACACTAAGGCCAATCTGCTGCTATATCCTTATGAAAAGCTTCTAGCAACTGTGGGGAAAACAATGAGGAAGAGCAGAGGCTGGGAGAGCAGAATGTTTGCGGATAAGGTTTGGACCAAGAGGACAATGAACAGAATTAGGCAGAGCTTTCAGCAGTTTCTCTCAAAACAGATGCATATACTAAAGTGGCTACTATTGCAAGGGAATGAGAAGCTGTGTCCCTCCCAGTCTTCTCCTCAGTTTATGCTTACAGCTTCCCAACATGTTCAGCCAGCTGCACAGCAGATTTTGCTGATGTTCCCTCATTCCTCAGTGGTGCCTTGCTCAATGAAATTTGGCTTGTATCCCTGAGCTAGCAGGGGAAGAGCTCACTTTCACAGATTTAATTCTTTCATTTCTAATGGGAATTACAGGGCCTCTGTTATAACTCTGGCACCAGTACCAAGCCCTTTGTTTATTTTATGGTCTGTTGTTGTGGTGTTCAAAATGTTTGTGAAAACAGAGGCCCAGTAGAGCCTTGAATTTGTTTTAAAAATATGGTTTTGCTGATGTCCACGTTACTGGCTTTTAGAGGAGAGTAACCAAGGCTGTAAAAGGCAGGAAGAACATTCCATTTTTAGAATTTCTCTGAGAGAGTGTGTATTGTCTTGTGTACTTCCTGCAATACCTACCACCCCATCTTGGTGAACTGAAGGTCTGCTTGAAAATGCTGATGGGGTGAAGGGGTTCTCCTTTCTTTGAGCTTCAGCATTAGTGCACTTAGGAGGACCTTGCTGACTGTACTTTGGTTCATAAGCTGTGCCTCACTGCTGTAACTCTTTCCATTCCTGTTCTGAAGGTAACTGGTTGATTCTTTTTGTCCCCAGCAAGATTCAAGCTCGTGCAGCTTTCTCTGCCTATCTACGGCACGTTCAGCTCCGACTGGTGAAGGAGGCTGGTGAACAGATCCAGAATCCTGCCTGGGTTGCCAAAGAGGATGAGCAAATGGTAAGAAGCTTTGTGTTGGCCAGGCTGAAAAACCAAGTTGGAATCTACCTTGAGACATTTCAAGTCAGTTCCTATTCTTGCAAGTACAGAAGTCCAACTGTGATGATGGTTGTTCATCTTTATCTAGCTGCCAGTGCTGTATTTTTAATATACCCATGTGGTAGGACCGCTAACAGACCTCAGAGCAATGATAGACAGCTCTTAATGACTAGACTTTGTTGACATTCAGGCTCCTCAGATCTCATGCTGAGATTTCTGAGCTTACCTGCTCTTGAATTCTTCTCTAGAAGATTCTTTGAGAGTACTTGTTAGGATCTGGTTTGTGCTGCATTAAGCAAAGCCTTCATCTATTCAAATAGAACAGGTACCCAGTTAAGCTTTTTCTCTTATGTACTGTTGTAATATATCCAGACATCTGTGTTTATGAATCTTACTTGCATTCTAGATAGAGGAAATTAAAGTAAAAGCCACTGAGAAGAGAAAGCAAAAGTGATAGACTTTTCAAGGCAGTATTTTGAAGTCCTGTGTTTGATATGTATGCATTTTAAAAAGCACAGCAATCCCGGATCCTTTCACAAACCTTCCTAAAAGAGCTTTGTACAGTAGGCTCTTTGAGCTTTCTGCATATATTCTCACTGAGTGTGTGTTGCAGGGAAAATGTAGTTTAGAGATAAAATTGTGTGTCAAGAATAATCATTCAACTCAGTGGAAAATGTTACCTCTGCTCTTTCCAAGTGGAAATTAAAACGGGCTTTTTGAGAGTCACTTTGTCTGCTGTACTGTAAAGACTAATGTTTAAAATAACAGATCAAACCAGCCTGGAGTAATGGCAGTGAGAGGCGAGCTGTGAAATCCAATAGTTTGGCTGTCAGGCTGCTCATTTATGCATTAGCAGAGCTCCTGAGCAAAAGCAAATCCAGAGGCGAGACAGAAAGGGTTCAAAACACCCACAGGATGCATCTTGCCTTAGGATCTGCCTTGCCATATGTTTCCCCCACCAGAGGTCAAACAGACATGGTGAGGGACTGGAATTACATGGCTATAGATGTAGACATCTAGTGCTGTGGAGAGGATGTGGCAATAGCACGTAGTTGAAAAATGATGAAATGGGACTACCCACTGTAGTGGAGATATCTGACCAAGATCCCCTTTCCTGTGGTACTGCTGAGAGAGTTTTATGTCAGTGCACTTTCCACTGGCCACCTTTAACACATTGCCTGTGGGATTTTGGAAACATTCTCCTAAGATACTGGACTTTACAGGTGTGTCACTGCATTTTGCTGATTGGTTATTTTTTCCTTTATCTGCTATGCTTTTGAGACAAACATTTCCTAAGTGTTCAAAATTTTGACCCACTTCAGGCAAGATACACCACTGTTTTTCTCCCCCACATTGGATTTATAGGGCTGTATTAAAAGTGCGTATTGCAGAATGCCTTTGCCTGGCAGTTTCAGCTCATTTTCTCAGGACAATGTGCATAGATCTTGCCAGTCCTTAGCTGCTCTAGTGTCTCTATTCTCTTCTCCCCACACCTTGCAGACAGCACGTTGTTAACTCCATCTCTTGCTTGCAGGACCTCATCATCCGCTTTCTGAAGCGAGCTGCCAGCAACCTGCGTCCGTCTCTGAGGCTGCTGCTCCCCAGCCGTCACGTAGGACTGACGGACAGGCGGCGCATCCTGGCTCGCCAGCTGGGCGAGTTCATCATCTGCTACAACAAGGTGACTTACACTTTTTGAAATGGGTTCTTTGATTCCTCTTTTCTTCTTACAAAGTGTTTCGTGCAGGCTGTTTCAAAGGCACTCTTCTGTTATTTACATGATCTGCTTGCAGCTGTGCATCCAACAATGGTACTTTGTTGAAATTGTCAGATAGACAACAATATTATTACATAATATGTGCAGGCCAGTAATTATGTGCATAAAAAGAAGTGCTGAAATGAAGTGGAATTTAACTGGCAGTGTGCTTTTTCTTTGCCTTGCCTTTGATTCTAATGCTTTGTAATGCCTCTTCCCACTTCTTATTTTTATGGGGCTTCTTTAAAGATATTTTGTTTTATACAGAACAGCATGAAATATGTATTTTACTATTTACTTGCTATACTGAGAGACTGCTACATATCTGTAGTAATGTACTCTGCATGCTCAGTGTAAAGGAGTTGTGGGTCCTAATTTAAATAATTTTCACATCTTTAGATGTAGGTGATGTTGTTCTTAGCATAGTGGTTTCAACCTAATCTTCCTCCTGCAAGGACAGCTTCCCCTTTCCTTTGCCCCCTAGCATTTCTTCAGTGTTAGAACAAGGGTAATTAAAATTCAGCTTTCAGAGGCAGCTGTGCAGAGGCCTTCAAGCTTCTACTCGTTAGGAGAGGATGTTCACTTACACTGCCTTGTCAGAACTGACATCTGGTAACTTGATCTGTCTAATCAAGGTTGGTATTGAACCAGGTCTGTTCTAGGGAGTGCCTTGTATGCCTAATGCTCACTGAAGTACTCTGTTAGGAGGAACCACAAAGCACTTGGGTGGCTCTGTGGTGAGTGAAGAATGCAACTGCTTTGGATATAATTTCCACTCAAATTGTATTCAAACATTAGGATTTTCTGCTAACTCTTGAGTAAATTCACAAAATAAAGCTTTGTAGCTGGTAATAAATCAGTGCATAAACATATTTTCTCAGTTAAAACAAGTGAGAACATATCACTTGAGGTTCCAGGGCATACGTGTTTAAGCCCTTGAGAAACTGTTAGGCTGTGAGGCTTGTTGATTTCGGATTCCAGCATACAGACTTCTTTCATTGACTTGTAACTTCAGTTTTAATATGAGTAGATTTAATATATTAAATGGCAAATTCAATACTTGCCATTGTATATCAGGTATAATGACACAGAATAATACAGCTCCAGCAAATTAAGTTAAACCCATCACATATTATCCAGACATTTACTTAAGTAGTAAATGGTAAAGATGTCCCAAACTGACTTTAACTTCCCTGTCTTGAATTATGTATTAAAATATGTACCTGACCCTTTTTTCCTGGGAATGCTCAGGGTAACAACAGGAAGAAATGAAGTTGAGGTCAAGTCTGGTCAGATTAAAGTTTTTAAACTGGTACTGGTATTTCAGACAGGTCTGAAGGTTTTTCTAAGGAACAGTTATGTTTGTATCAATCCAACCTCTAGTGCCAACCTGTTCTACTGGTATAAAATAGACTGTATCTGAAAATTTGCTCCCATTTTCACCCACAAAGGCTTATCATTTATTCCAGTATATTTCAGTGTATAGGCACATTTGCCATAGGCTGTACTATTTTACTTTCTTAGTCTTTGCTAAAGCAGTGGGGTTTTGGTATGTCTGTAAGCCCTCAATTTGCTGCTTGACAGAAGAAGTCAACTCAAGAGAACTACTAGTTTATAGTAGAAAATCTTTTGATTTTTCTACAGACATCCTTCAGTTTCTTTAAGATTAATTTTATACTTTTTCCCTCCTTCTGTCTGTCTACTTCTGGGACAAATGCATTGATAAAAGCTGTTTGGAGGAGCTCTGTGGCAGGAACAACAAAATGGAGAGGGGACCCTATATCTGTAATGAATGATTTAATTTTTTTTTTCCCTTCCATACTTCCTTATGTTCTAGCAAGAGTGTAGTTGAAGGAACAGCACACATTTTTGAAGACTTGATCTTTTCTCAGCAGATCATTTGTATCAGGTGGAGGAATGGACTTTAGTGTATGCTTAGGATGCTGTCTCTGGGGCTCTCTATATTCATTCATGTTGTTGCATGTAGCAATGTTCTTTTTTTCTTAGCTCCTCTGGAATTGGATTTTGTATTCCGGGAGCTGTAGCTATGCCATGGAACATAGAGATACTTACTGATACTGCTTCTTAACAGGAAACAGAGCTGATGGTTCAGAAACAATCAAAAAAGGAAGAGGAGGAGGGAGTGAATCCTCAAGATTTTGAGAACTTCATTGCCAGAGCAAGGTAGGAATAGATTTTATTCCCCTTGACAAATGATCTTTCAGCCTTGAAGCCTTGTTCTAAAGATGATTTGGTTGATCTAAAGCCTCTACATACCTTTATTAACTCTAAGACCTTTTCCTGCTGAGGGACAGAGAGCTTGTCTTCTCTTGTCTCTTCCAGCAACCAAACACTTGTAACATCAGCATCTGGTGCATAGGGAGGAACATACAGTAGATGTTTTGACCATCAAGTTCCCTTCCCAAAGGACAGCAGTGGTTGCCCTGGCCTGTGTAAATTTCAAACTGCTGCTGGTGAGTTAATGGTTTCCTCTCCTGAGATACTGGACCAAATAAGGCAGTACTTCAGAAGGAGAGTGAAACTAGAACTGCTGCTCAGATGATCTGGAGCTGCTGTGGTTGAACAGTTGTCACAGCTCTGACTCAAGTTTCTGCTCTCAGAAACAAATCTCATGCTTGCTGCCTCTCTTCAGGAATTTTCCAGGTCTGGATTTTCTGAGATGAGCAAGGAAGGGAGTTAGGCCTGCTAAGGCAGTTCAGTTCAAGCAGTTACTTTCACAATGGAAAAGCAGCGTTTTCTATCAGTGCCCTCTATCTGCTTTAAACTTTAAAAAGTCTGCTAAGAAGCATATTTTGAAAATAGTTGAGTATTCCTTAGGGCCTCTAGCATTGTATGAAAAACAATGGTATTATAACTATCTAACTATGGAGAGGTCTGAAATTATTCAGTGAACCACAATTATGTTTTCAAAATCTCTGATTCTTGAGGACAAAAAGCAATTCTTCTTGACTCTGTTATTTGGTCAATATATGACATGCCTATATAGGCAAGAACCCCTGTCAATATCTGGACAGAGTTTACCTGCCTTTTCCACGTCCATCTTCTTTTTTCTGTGAAGATTATGGTCACTTCTTTTGTGTGACTGCTTATTAAAGTGTTCTTTCTTTCTCTCTTTGGATAGCACTAATAGTGAATTGTTAGAAGTGGGTGGTAGCTGAGGCATCCTAAGTTCAGGTGGTTTCGCAGTCTGTCTTGATACATTCTTATGAAAACAAGTATTTTACCTTTTGCTAATATAATTGATGGAGTCATTACTGCAACAGATTGACAGGATTGCAGAAAAATCTTCAGATAAAGATGCCTGACTGCCATACACCATAGATCTACTGCTCTTGCTAGAAATGCATATTATGTGGGCCCAGGCTTTTGGGTCTCTGAACATTCTGGCTATTAAATATCTGTTGTGTCCCAGGCACATAATTTTCCCTTTTGCAACAGAAATGATAAGAGATAGCTGCATGGAACTGATCTGCAAATTCTTCTGTTTTGATATTATTGGCTACCATGCTATCATGGCCTGATGCACAGTCTAGGCTGGGGCTGGAGATTTTTGCTGGGTTGTGTGAGTGAGTGATACAGAATAGTTTGCCCATGATCAGACATTTTCTAGGGATGATCTTTCTGCTTCTTATGAAGTATGAGCTGTGTTTGAAAACTCTGATATCTGACACTACTTGGCATGGTGCTTCAAACTTAAATCAGTGAGCAAGTCATTTGGAACCAAGCAAAGGGGATAGATTTCCAGTTCAAGTGTTCATTCTGCAGTACAGTGAATGCAACAGTGGAGAAAATGGGTAATAAATGTTGCTTCTTAATTGAGATGGTCTTATTGACTCTAGCTTTAGTATCGCGTGGATGTCATTGTGTTTAGTTGTATGTATGCTATGACCACCGATTCTAAACATCCTCAGTGCATTGTAAAAACACATACATACTGATAAATTAATTTAAAAGCTTAAAGCACCTTTCCACATACAACTTCTCATTCTTGGATTTCCTTTTCACTTTTCCTCCCAGAATAAAAGTGAAGTTTGGATCTTCAGGGCATACTGCAAACTTCAGTGTATCAGCTTTAGACCAGTTTTTTACCAAAGCTCAAGCTAGCTAAGGCTAGTTACAATTGTGATATTCAGAGGATATTTTGAAAGATTCTAACTGCTGCTCTGCTACTTTATACTCCTGTGTTACATTTTCTTGTAGTGTTGATGGCACTAGAGTACTTGCTTTGGTCTTTGCCATGCCATACAGCTCCTTGCTGATGCTGAGGCAACACTATGAAGCAAAAGGAAACCATTTTAGATACGAAACAACCAGAACTACAGCTTGCACAAGCTCTAATAAGAATGGCCAAGTAACTGATACTGGTTTGGGACCAATAGATGTTTAGGATATTGGGGCTGTCCCACTTTGTTCTTGTAAGGAAAATGAGAAACATACGCGAGTTTTGTGAGTTTCCCAAAAATATTGACTGTTCTGGTTGTCCTGCAGTTTTGGCTAATTAACAAGCTTTTGCCTTCTTTCCTCTTCTCCCCCTACTGCTGAACAGAAACTACTAATGGTGACTATAAAACAGAGACTGTGCTGAATTTTCTCATGAGAAAATAGCTGCTCATTCTAAAGAGCACCTGCAGAAGATTGACAAATTTAGCTGTGAATGGAATCTCTCATGTTGAGCTCATTTCCCCAGATGTGTTCAAAGTATTCACTTGCTCTTTATTTATCCTGGGAAGGCTCCTGAATGCCTGGGATTTCCTACTGCATAAGAAGATGGTATTTAAGTGGAAATCTCAGGTTTAACCAGGGCATGTTGCCTTCCTTTTTCTCTTACCCTGTAGAACTGAGCAAATCGTTAGCTTGTCAAGTGTCACCTTTTTTTGGCCCCACTCCACTCTTCAGTTTCCTTATTGTTTATTGTCTTTGATTGTTACACGAATGCAGAAAAGCTGTGTCCTCACTCTGCATCCATTATTCTCTCCTTATTGCAGTGAAAGTGACCTGGAGGAAGTACTGACTTTTTACACACAGAAAAACAAATCAGCAAGTGTCTTCCTAGGAACAAAATCCACAACCACAAAACACAGCAACAGCAGTCACCAGTTAGAGAAGCAGCCCCAAGGTGGTAAGTTTTGGAGGCAGTTCTGAGATGATGTTGTCCAGACAAATCTAGTTTAATTTATGTCTATGAAAAGAGAACAATCTCTCCACAATATTACTCAGGTTTTCTGAGGTTACATATATTTTTGGTTTTTTTCTTCTTTTTTAGCTCAGTCTTATGTGAAGACTAGAGTTGCTTCACTGCTGCCTTCTTTTCCTGAAGTGAAATGGGTTGAACTTAGACTGGTATTTATAAGGAGCTAGATATGGTAGTTCATGACTGAATTGAAAATGTGCAAACTGAAGGCAATAAGAATTGAACAGAGAATCCTGAAATCAAAGTAAGGGATTAATGAAATCAAGATCTTAAATTTTGCTGCCTGCAGTGAGTGTATCCATTGGAGGGCAGAGACTGTATATTTGAGCCTAATTACACATTCTATGGAAGGAAGAGTGTGCTAGCCATATGTATCAGTAGTCCATGCTACTATACATGACAGCATAATTGTCATCAATGAAGTTCTGTGGTCTACAGGAAGTATTAGCAATAAAGTCAATCACAGCAAGGGTAAATTCTGCAGCATTGTTCTAGTGATTTGCAATGTTCTACTTCCTAACTCCTTGATTTTGTTGTAGAGCATCCTGAGATGGTGAAAAACATAAAAGGTGATCACTCCAAAAGTTCAGTTGCAGATTTGTCTGCAGAAGGAGCACTAAAAGGCTGTAAACCCAAAGAAGCTAAATCAAGCTGTAAGTGAACATATAAAATATACTGTTTTAAAGAAAGGTTGGAACCTTTGGATTCAAACAGAGATCCGAATGCCCAGTTTGTACTTTTAAACACAAGATACTGTAGAGTAGGTAGTGGCAAAGAGTTAGCTGCCCCTCCCTGGGGGGGATGATCTAGATATGGCAGGCTTTGAAAGGAGGTATTTATCATGTAGAGCCTCTTCTTGTCTCTGCTGGTAGATGAGGTCATTTTGGCTTCAGTGGGTCTGAGTGCAGGCATTTGATGTGTTGATATTATCAAAGGACCTAAAAAGCAGATTTTCCTCATATAGTATGTTCATTATCTTTGTATAGTTCCAGAAGGACTCGCCTTCTCCTTAAATGCCGAAGTGAAATTACCTCAGTGCAGCCCTCCTGATGCTTCTTCCTCTGTTCCTGGTGCCACGTTGCAGAGAAGTTCCAGTTCTTGGATGCCATCTCAGCCTGCAGCCTCTGAAAATCCAAAGCTGTCTGGTCAGCCTTCACTGCCAGCTCCTCCAGCTGGTCCCAGACTGATTCAGTCCCCACCCCCACTGCACTCCTTGCACAGCACAGCTCCTGACAGCTCTTCTGTCCTCACAAACTTGGTGTCCACTGAGACTTGTAGCCTTGCAGGGTTACATCGTCGTTCTGGTAACTACACCATTGGCCCATTCTCATCTTTTCAGAGAGCTGTTCAAATCTACAGCCAAAGATTGTCCCAAATACCCTCTGCAAAAATAGGTGAGTGCTCTGGGATTCATAATAACCTGCTAGTTCAGTACAGAGACTGTGTAAATTTTTGTTGTGGCGTAGGTAGAAATTTTACATTTCCAGAATTGAGTCTTGTTGGATGGTGCTAAATTTCTTACAGAAAGCAAGAGTATAGGATGCAGCCCTTGATAGGCAGATGCCCTTTTATTGACCAGATGAACAGGCAATCATATAATCATTGAGGTTCAAAAAGACCTTTCAGATCATCAAGTCAAACAATTCATGCTACCAAGTCCAGCATTAACCGGTCCCGAAGAGCTCCATTTACTCCATGTCTTTTAAGTATCTTTGTGATTTGTGACTCAGCCACTACCTAGCAGCCTGTTCCAGTGCTTGACAACCCTTTTTCCTAGTATTTGATCTAAATCTTCCCTGGTACAACTTGAGGTCATTTCCTCTTGTCCTGTTGTTTGTTATCTGGGAGAGGAAGCTGACCCCTACCTCAAAAAAACCTCTTTTCTGGTAGTTGTAGTGGTAAGGTCTCCCTTCAGCCTTGTGCTTTGAACTCTGCCTTTGAACTTGTTCAAAAAGAGCTGTGAAATTAAGTATTGTATATTTTCTTTATTACACTACTGAGCTTATCTATCTTTAGTGAGTTTAATGTTGTTTTCATTAGCAGAAGTCCTGTCTCAGTCTATGTGCTGTTCTTAGTACTCTGGTTGTCTATCAAACAGAGAAATATTGTAATGAAACCTCATAAGTGTTGAATACTTAAAGGTGTGTCAAGACCTCCAGAAAAGAAGGATCTCAATGAATCATTACAATATCTCATTCTCTGGGGTGTTTTAGCACTGCCATATCCAAGGGCATCCCAAACCCAAAATTTAGAGATCTATCATGCTGTCATAGTACTCACTGAAGCAATGCAGCTTTAGAGTGTAAAGAACCTGAAGCATAGTAGAAACAGTAGGAATTTGCATGCAGACTGTAATCTATTGGGAAACTTTTGGGAACCACATACACGCTAACAGCTGTGATTCCTGATAATACTAATTTTGTATTTTTATAGTATTTATTTGTTCTAGGTTGTGTGTCAGGGTCAGCACATGTTTGCTAGGGTTGCTGTATATATATTGACAACCCCATCAGCATTAAAATACATCTTACTTCCCAACTGAGTAGCTTACTTAAAGAGATCCATTTTTTTTAAAGGAAAAACTACAGTTTTAACTTGGGTAACAGCTGCCAACATCTCTGGAATTGGGTGCCGCTAGATACATTGTAATAAAGAGAATATGGGTTTGGAATTGCTAATTGTTCATTTGGGCAATACCCATGCAGAATATGTCTATTCTGTGTTCTTCTTGGTGTCTTATCTGCTGTTGTGTGTCTGTGATCAGCAGGCTGAGGGTCTGACACTTGCTCATGGAGCACATTGCAATGTTTGTTTGGTAGGTCTCCATCGCAGCTCCAGCGGGCCGTGCATGGGCTCAGCCAGGATACACAAGGATGCAGAACACCCTGCCCAGGCCAAACGTCAGGGACACGCTGTGGCAGCAGCAGAACTGCAGCAGCTGGCAGAAAAACAAGCAGCCTGCCAGCATTCCCCACCAAGCCACGTCAGTCTCGTTACACAGCAGGTATGTAAGCACTGAACTAGAGTCCCTGTGCAAGGGAGAAGTTCTGTGTGAGCACTAGGCTGGCTGAGATAGGCTGCATGCAGTAAATGTCAGGAAAATTCATCTCTGTCCTGTTGTTTCCAAGTGTTTACACAATTTTGATTTTTCTGTGAGTTGGCAAGAATGTCTTAAAGTCATTTCATAGGAGAAAAGGCAGAGGATTAGAAAATGTAACAAAAAATGGAATCTGTGCTTTGTCTTACTAGATAATAAACCAAAGTCTTAGATTTGTGCTTCCATGCATTTTGCTTCCTTGTTCCTCCAGTGTGTCATTACAGTGTTGGCAGTGAAAGTCTGCAGAATGGGTTCTGATGTAAATTCTGTATTCCAATAACACTATAAAGACAGAATGAAATACTTACTAGCATGATAATCCTTTTGTCAAACATGGTGATACATGATTGAGTTCTGGTAGCATTCCACTTGGTTTCTTGTTTCATGTCGAATTATGTCCTAAATGGCTACACAGAAACATTTTTCTTGCTTTATACTCATCAAAGGTGTTCAAGTTGAGCACTTCTCAGTTAATTAAGATGCCAACTGCAGATTTTCTAGCATAGGCACTTTGCCTTGGACAGTAATTTTTTTTCTGTAACTTGCTGGAGACAGAGGATTTGAATGTCTTAGTTTGATTCTTGTATTTTGGAATTACTGTTTTAATGGTTATATTTTGCTGAGTTTTCTGTGGCATGTTTAATAGTTGCAACAGCTGCTGGTATTTGCTTCTCTTTGCTTCTTTTAACTTTATTATTATGTTTAGATTTTTAATAACTAGTTATGCTATTGGAAATATATTTCAAAATGTGGGCTACATTTATAACTTTAGGAAGCTGAATAGATTTTTCTTTGCAGATAAGTCTTTAATTTTTAAAGGATATGTCAAATAATCAAGTTCCTTCTTGTTGATGGACTCAGGAGAGGCTGTGAGCACCAGCTGTACTGGTGATGCTGAGGCGTGCTCTTGCATAAGGCCAGATCCTATTTAGACAATTTGTTCTTGTTTGCTTGTCTAGTAATACTTAGAGCTATCAGTCTGGTTCTCAGCTGGTATTAAGTGAAATATTGTCAGTAAAACTGTTCAAAAACTTTGATGGTGAAACATTTTCATTCAGGAAATGCTGATTTGTTGAAAGCTAAATGTGTGATGTAAACTACCTCCTTGGATAGAAGATACTATCTAAACAAGTACTCGGGGGGAAAAAATTGAAACATATCTATTTCATTTCAGTCTTTCCAGAAAAGAATTTTGAAAAACAAGTTCATAGACTTTTTTTCCCTAAAGTCATTCCTTAGCCATTCTACTTCAACTTTGTGGTTTGTTAGGTCTGTCTAGAGAACCCATTGTGTCTTCTTGCAGCCATTTGTGTAGCTGCAAAAATGAAATTATTCTTAAACTCTTGTATTCCTACCATGGCTAGTTACTCCTAGATAAATTACGAAGTATGAAAGGGGGAGTTGAGGGGAATTCATAAAGATCTGCATGGGAAGGCCAGTGCAGTTTCCTGAGCACAGCTGTGTTGGGTGGCAAAGGAGCATACTCTGGTGGCAGCTGAAACCTGTTTAGCCAGCAGTCAGTCTCTGTGGGTGTACTCAGGAGGGAAAGTGGCTGTCAAGTGCATGGGTAGCATGGAAATGTATTGGCTGCAGTAAATGTGCCTACATTGCTTTTGCTTCTGGGTTCTTCCAAGATACTTGCCCACATAAGAGGTGGGAATTGGATAGTAGGAAAATGATGGTGCTAATTTGCTTTGCAACAAGCAAACAATAGACACTCAGCTCCTAGACATTGCTGATTTTGTCACTCTGCTTTATTTTGTGTTCAGCTATGCAGTGTTTGCACAGACTTTGTTTCAGTAGTGAAATATAGAAACATGTTGGGTTATGTCTTTGTCATCTTCTGTCGTCATGAAAAAGATCAGTGTAGAAAGGAATTCTTAAGCCAATGAGAAGTTTAGAGCTGGATTTCTATCTGACAAAGAGTTTCCTTCCTGAGCCTCTGTCCATTCAGTTTTAGACATCTGCCTTCTACTGTGATTTTTCTGGCCATGTTTTTTAAATTATGCCTTTGGAAAGATGAAATCTGAATCTGAAGTTTGCTTAGTATGAAAATTTGAATTTAGTTGAGAATAGCTTTTAAGGCAATCTGTTTCTTCAGTACTGAATTTATGGCACATAGCAATTTCTAAACCGAGACCATTATTTTTAAGCACACTTGAAACAGTGACGTTTTGGAAGGTTCAGATGTAGCTGCAAGGCCCAGTGTACAATAACTAAAGCATGCAGTTACTACTTCTGCTTTTTTTTTTCTTTCACATGGACATATTTTGCTCTTCTGTCAGTCGTTAAAGAGTCATTCTGATTATTTTTTGATCCAGCCTGGATTTTAAATACTGTCTTGCAAGAAGAGCCCAGGGATTTTGTGAGAAGACAGGGCTGCCAAGACAACAAGGGCAGTAAGAGGTTTCAGATACAATAAAACACAATAGTAGGGCAGCAAGGCTTGGGCTTATTGTTGAGGGACCTGGAACCAGGATATCTGACTTTGAACTGCTAGGCATGGATGTAGATTGGGAGCAGGGACATTGAGTCAATAGAAGTGCAGGAATTGCAGAGTAGGCTGGCAGTTTGGAAAGTGATTTGCAGAACAGCAGGTACTGTTGAAGCTACCTGGGTGTGCTACATGGTTTTAGATTTGGGCAGACCAGGATTTGGCCTGAACCAGCAAGGGGGAAGGCAAGGACAGATGAGACAGAGAAACACGTGGGAGAGGATTTAGTAAACACCTGGAGAGAACTGGAAAGTCAAAGACTATTGGTATGAGATGAAAGAGGGAAAGGCTTGAGATGGGAGGGTTTGAGGGTTCTGGGTTATGAAACTGATGGCTTTAGGACAGGAGAATTAAGGGATGGAAAACGGAGAGGAGAGGAGAGAAAGGGCTCATATCAGGATCACTTAATTAAACAGGGCATTACTTTTCTATACATTTCTAGACAGGAAACTCTGAATTGTTTTCCCCCTTTTCACTTCTGTAAAACTACTTTAAACCACTTGAAATATGATAGTATTTTTTTAAAAAGCAGTCTTAAATAAATTGGCACAAAGATTAGAACATTACTTATCTAATAATAAAAATAGTACATTTGTTTAAAGCCATTCCAGAAACTTGGAGTAAGTCTACCTTGCTGGAAAGTACCTGGCTGGTATGAAAAGGACTTGATATATGGATTTAATTATGTTTCATGATAAGATTAGGACCATTGATTTGGAGGGGGTATATGAAAGTGTGACTTGAAAATACTGGTGTTGCTGTGGACTGTATTTTTGTGGGGGTTTTTGGTTTGTTTGTTTTGGGTTTTTTCCCCCAAGGGCAAGAACTTCTATGTGAGAGTTGAATGCATTGGTTCCCTGTGTTGCACCAAGCTGTGTCTTGTAGGCTGGGGGGCTCTGAATACATGCCTCCTTCCAAGAGCAGCTGGGAAGCTTGTTTTCCATTCCTGTTTTTGTGAGAATTGCTTCTGGTATCCATACAGTAGTGTGGGCCTCCAGGGTTCCCAAGAATGCAGCCTCAGCAGCTGTGCTTGGAATGGTGTCATTCTGGTTGGGAATCCACCTCTGTCCCTCTCCAGTCCCTGCTGTTCTTCACTGTTTTCTACCCATGCCCAAAGCACCTGTTTTGTGTTTCTTCTTTTAAACTATTGTTTTCTAGTCTATGTATTAAATTAGTTTATTGTTGAGGGTTTTTTTATTGATATAATTTTATTCATATTATTGATACTACTTTATTATTTACTACTAAAGTGCTAATGTCCAAAGGGTAAATTTTAAGTATCTGATGAACTTTGAAAAAGATGTTTAAGATCTGTTCTCTGAAGAAAACAAGATTTTTGTGTTTACATCAGCTTTCTCTTTTGTTGGACCTTTTCATTCTCTTCTGGAAGATCAGAAAGGAACTTCACACTGATACTCATAACATATGCAATTCTTAGCATATGAGCGATGGAGATGTAGGAAGGTAAAGCCTTACTGATGTGCAGTTTTGTTCTGTTGTTCTCAGTTTTCAGTCCTCACAGAGAGTCACACAAAGTGTGTAGGAACACTTTGCCTTTCATTAAGTTGTGTATTTCTACTATTTTGATTTTTTTGTCTAATTAAAAAGCTCATTTTGAGATCGTGACAGCAGTGGGAGTTAGGTACCTCTGTCCATACTGTACATTTCAGACAGTGCCTGATTTTTGCAGTATGTGCAGTCTAACTATAGTTACTCTACAGCATCAAAAAATAGAAGGATGTCCCTCTCATTAGCTACCCAATGTGTCTGGGAGCAAGCAAAAGAGATCTCTATGATAAATGTGCCTTTGAGGGTCCAGCATTAACCTGGTAAGGCAGGGGCTGAGTAGGCTAATAAGGAGGTATCTGATCTCCAATGGCCCAAAGAAAGTCAGTAATTATTTATGTCCTATCTATTATGTACTATCTATTAGAGTTCTTTGAACTGAGAAAAACAGCACTCAGTTTAGCTTGTTCATATTCAAACTTCCCAAAAGGTTTTTGACAAGCTTTTATCAAGTACTGTTAAGATGGACAGGTGTCTGTAGGATGATAAAGGAAGTTTTATTACAGATCAAAAACAGATAAAAAGTAAACAAAAAAAATAATAGTCAGTCTGCCATAGCAAGGGGATAACTGAAGATGCATAATACGGAATGTACATGATCCAGTGTAAAATTACAGGTTGGTAAGGAGGAGGTTCATAAGGGCATTAATAAGGCATTTTATTACTTAAAGAATGAGTTTAAAAGCAAGTTACTGCCAGGTAATATTGGGTGTGAATTTACAGTAGATGAACTACTCTGTAGTGTTCATCCGTGTTTGTACAGCTCATTTTTACTACATGGGGTAATTTCTTGTTTCCTTCAGTGTAACTTTTGTGTTCAGTTACAATGAAGTTAGGTGTGTGCTGT